AAAAAAATGCCAAATGCAATTTCTGCTTATTCCAAACTCCTCTTGGCCCTTAGGATATCTGACTACCAGGCTAGTCAGCCCCTCCCAGCAGACTCAGCAAGCCTTTATGGTACTTCTGTTGTATCAGTATTGAAAATAGTTCATGTTTTATTGTAAATTACTGTTATTTGCAACTTCCAGTTTTGCAGTTCCCACTGCACAGAGATCAAGCACCCAATTTTTCCTTTGTATCCATCAGTGTAAATCAAGATTAACTCCAGTGAAGTCAGCCTAACCACAAGTGTAAACCTAGGAATGAAAGGAAGATCAGTCTACAATCTACTTGGGAGTTTTATTTGTAAATAACAAAATTAATGCTCCTGTTCTGCAGACACAGGGTGACCTGCAAAGTACTAGCTCATGCATTACTAATGTATCTCCATTTAAATGCAGATTTTTGCTCCTAACAGAACTTCAGGGAAATCCTCTCCAGATAAACTGTAATAGGATACCAAATGGTGATTCAATATTTCACTTTAGCTTGTGTTTCAGCTTATTGATCTTAATTTTCTATCATTTTGATGCAGCATTTGCCTAGGGGGAAGAGGATTACATTCACTATAACACAGCTTTTAATTAATAATTAATTATTTTAATATTCCCCACATCCATGCCAGCAGTGCAATCTGCTTGTATTTCTTTCCTAGTTTCTATTTTTAGTGGTGGAAACCAGCAAGGTGTGACTTTACATATTTCAGGAAGTAATTGAGACACAGTTGAGAAAAGGCAGCATAGCATAAGTATCACAGTGTCTATGTGGCACATGCTTAACATGATAGTCTTTGGTCCTTAGCCATACTGCTACTGTGGTAACAGTAGTGAGGCCCTGACACGATTTGGTTTTGCCATATATGACAAATTTAGCGTGAAGTTTTTTCTCTGAACAAGTTTAGGATCAAGTTTTTCTCTGCCTCCCTCAAGCACTACTTAAGTGCAGCTTCCAAGATGTACATGAAACCTTGATTGATATATATATATTTTTAGATAGATAACTGTCTTCTCTGGACTGAACTTTAAGTGTCTTAAATAGTACAATGGAACATAGTAATCGTGAGTTTATATATATAAATTATGAGTTTATATTATAAATTATATTATAAATTATGAGCTTATAAGTCTACTAGATCATGAATACAATCATTAAGAGGAATTACCTGATGTTGAGAGTATTTTTGCAGCACTTGACATGATGACCTCCAATCTAGTTATAACTAGGTCACACTATTTCTCAGCTTCCAGGCTGAAAGCCAGCAGCACAAGGATTACAAGCAAGGCTTATGTACCAGCCACTCCAAAATAATTCCCTACTGTGGTAGAAGGATAAATAAGATGAGATTTTAAAATAAATTTTTAGGTTTGGGGTTTTTTTGTTATTTCTGTAATGTTAATACCTATAAGGTGCATTACATTAACATTTCCAAATGTTGTTCTTGCATCCATAAGATTCATGAATTTTCAAAATTTTACCTCTGAGATTAACATTTTTCATATAGCATCCTAGGATTTGTATACTTTTTTAAAATTATCAGAGTAAGAGCAATAAAATAGTGGAAATTGCCAGTCTTGTGGTTACTGAGATCTCTGTCATGTAATTTGGTCAGAAAAACAGATGTCTAAGAAGTAATGATCTTTGTGATTATGCTCCTTTGGGAAGTTCACCTACATGCCCTCAGTTTTTGTCTCAAATTATGTCCAACATTCTCAAACCCTGGCAGATTCAAACACCATCTAAACAAAACAAAAACTGCTAGAGAAACATTCCTCTGCTTACCCCATCAAAGTCAGTCCTCTCATGCCCATGTTTAGGTCTGAATAAATGGTATGCTGCAATCCATCAGACAGAAATTTGTTACTGGTAAGAACATAAGGCACACCATAAAAAAACTGTCTCTTGATAGATTTTGTTGGCGGGGTGGGATGGGGGGTGGGTGGGATATTGGTAGGGTTTTTTTCTCCCCCTCCAAAAAAAGGCAGGAACAGGATTTGCTTTTAGTATTGGAAGTACTTGCTGACTTGGTAAATAAAGAGTAATGAAAAAATGGCATAGGTGCAGTGGAGGAGCTGGGTATTTTTCTCATCAACAATCCATTATCAGTAAACACATTTTGATTGGAACAAAAGCCCTAAACAAAATTTCTAATGCTGGGGAGTATTTCAGTTAATCACTTATGGGTTTATCCAGATCAAGTCTTTAAAGAGACTACTATTGGTCCAAAAAAAAGTTTTCAATGATCCAAAATAAGATTTCTTTTAATTAGAAAATTATAGAATTTCCAGGGTTTTTGAGTTTTGGAATTTTTTTTAATCAGTGTGGAATCCTTTATTAAAATTGGATTTGGTACCCAATTATAGCAAAACTATTTACTAAATAGTAGAAAATAAAGAGGTGGTTTTCTTTGGAATCTGTATCTTAAAAAGTAGTCTCAATGGTGAAAATCAGAGTTGTAATAGGTTGGGGTTTTTTTCCCCAAGACATAAGTCCTTGGTAGGACTTAACAAATAAAACTGAAATTCATTTTTAAAAAAGGGAATGGATCAGGTGTGAACTGATAAAAACTTACCACTTCTTTGACCTTGTAAGCTTCCATCAGAATGCATGACACAGCAAGAAGTTTGCCTAGCAGCAGTAGGTTTGCACATCCTCTTATTTCCTTTACCGGCTCAAACCTAGATTTTTTCATTAATTACTGTTCATTTATTGAATGGAAAACATGCATTTTTAATTATGTTAGTTGAAATTTGGCTAGTTGTGAAACCAAGTGCTTGGAATTGGTCCATTTGAGCCACGTGAATCAGCAGTACTGTTTCACAGTTTTTGCATTTTTTTCATTTCACTGTTTCACACTATGATCCTTGCCCAGCAGAAAACCTGATAAAGATAAAAGGCTCCATCTAGTGGGCTAGAATTTTCTATTGAAAGGGAAAAAAAGGCTCTCATTTTCACCTGATTTTATGCACTAAGAAATACAGCTTTAGATTTTGTTTCATTAAGCTGCCATGTTGTTGTTAATTCTTGCCTTCTGCAGAGCCATTATTTTATATGCAAAGCTCTGAAACATTAAGTATTACTCAGAGTCTTGAGCAAGAAGCAATAAATGATACTAAATGACTGGGTTTATACAGCAGTTCATCAAAAAAGTTCTTCCTCCCCAGCCCCTTCATGTTTCATTATAGAGTAACCAAAAGAAGGTAATTTGTGTGTCAGCACATATTTTAAAGTATTTAAGCTTCTTTCCTACTTAAAACTGACTGGAAACACTCATAGCTTGACCATAGCACTTACTACAATATTTTGGGAGTATTTTTACTCAGAGAACTCTACCCATGTGTTACCTCAGCTTTAAATTGTAAGACTTGTTTACTTGCAAATGGGGAAATCTGTGTTTTCTGACAAGCCCCAGCCCCTGTGGCCTCTGCTGTGTCTTCCAAAGGCAAACACCAAACTCATCCATTCTGGCATTTGCCTAGGAGCCTGCCTGGTACTGTTGTGTGTCCAGAAGCATCCTGACAGAATCGAGCACTTTTATTTTAGGTACACAATTGATATAGTGCAATAGTACTGGGGTTTTTTTTCCCTTTTGTCTTTGCTGGATTTCTGCACTGCATTGCAGTTATGCTTCTAGCCCCTGAACTTGAAATGGCAGGACTCTTCCATTTGCAGTAGTGAAACTCAGATGTTACTCTCATGCCAACAAATTCAGCTAGCAGCTGAAACCTCCTTTTCAGTTCACTTCAAGCTAGTAACAAGCGTAGGAGCAGGAATAAGTAGAGCAAGCACAGATTTGGCAGAAGAGACACTGAACTACATGTCCTGGCTTTTGTTCAAATGTCCTTTCTTTTAAAGTGTAGAGCCTGGCAAGATCAGTTCCTCCTGTGCAGCTTCCAGCAAGGGGCAGACAGTGCATGCATTGTAGTAATGCACTACACCCAAATTTACTATAGCCAGCATTCATATCCAACACTGGAAAATGTGTGTCCTGTGCAAATCACAAAATAGAGCTTACTAAGTTGTTTTGGACTCTTTTGACCACAGGGAGATCTTCCTTTGTATTAGGTCACTTAATAGCAAATCCAGAGATTTTTACTTTGGTAGCAATGAATGATTTGGCAATTCTGATAGGTTACACAGACTTGATCTTCCAGAACAATCCTCCCCAGCTGCAGCTGTTGTTGTATCCTCCATGGAAATGTTTTTTTCTGAGCTGCCAGTGGGAAAGAGCTGTCATTTGGCTTGTTTTACAAGCTAAAGCAAAGGATAGTATTAGAGTTGTTACTCTGAACCTTTCTATGAGCAAGGACTACCACTGAACTGAGTAATTCTAGAATGCCTTTGAGGAAGTTGATATGTTTGCAACATGCAAACAATGCTATCTCAAAAAGGGAAGAAATTAAAGGCAGAACTTAAATTGCATGGTTTGCTATTTGTTCGAGTAATGCCACTTGGTTTCTAATGTACACAAACACATACCTCACATGCAATAGAAGAAAAGATGCAAGTCCCTTAATTCAAAGTTGTTAAATAATATCACTCTTAACTGCTGGCCTTGGTTCTAGAACTGTTCATGTTTTAAAAGATTATAGGCTTGTTGCTGGGCTAAAGCAAGTTTGGAACTACAGTAAGATTCTCTGTTTTACTTTACGTACCTTTTCTAGCACTAGTAACTTGAACTGATTTTAATGAAATACAGATTTCCAGACATGAAACTCTGAGGATTATTCAACACACTGCTTTTGTAATAACCTGCTGTCAACTCAAACTGTTAATTTAGGGGTTAATTTATTGCCTCTTCAGGTCATTGAAAAATCTTATACAAGCCTTCTAAGTAGGTAATGTTTATCCAGGTAAAATTTATTCAGCTACTTTTTTGTTCTTTGTGGGAGCAGTGATCTTTCAAATCAAATGCACTGATGTCCTTTTATTGCTTTAGAGAACCACTCAGTCTCTCCCTTACTTTTCACAGCTAACCAGGTGCTAAAGTTTGGAACACTCGTCAGTACTTCCAACACCTATGACAACTCTGGGATTGTGACTATCGAGACAGACAAACCTTTGCTGTGGACAATGGCTATCAAGACATAAGATCAGCGACAGCTGCCTTTTCTGATCCGATTTTACTACAAAATTTCACGGAATTAAGACAGTAAAGCTGCTGCAAGATATAAGCAGGCACTGATTTTGTGTATTGAATGAAAAACAAATTTGAAATAAAAGTCACTTGAGACCGGATCAAAATTACTTGCAGTAATAGAGTACTTCATTCTGGTAAATCACACTACTTAATCAGAAGATGCATGAGCAGCCACTCAGTACAACCACAATCCGAAATGAATGTAAAGAAACTGCTGCTGCTGATGTGGTTAGTTCAGGCTACTTTTACAAAGTATTTTATTCCAATACTAAGCTATTTTTCCTGTCCTGCCAAAAGGAAATACAGTACCGAGTTGCACATAGTATAACTGTATGACAAGGTGATAGCACCAAGATTAGTTAATCTCATTTTTCTGTCCTAGTTTGCAACATATGTAGGTTCTGTTAAAGATTTCTCAATGATAATAATTGAACTTTTCTATATGGAAGCAAGTTAGTGTACTGAAGAAGCTTCAGTTTTACTGTAATACCAGTATCAAATGTCCCAGTATGAAGTGCTTTTAAGTCTGTAACAGAAGTACCCTTGTGCCTTCTGCAAATACCAAATGCTTACAGTAAGGTTTTTTAAGTGAATTAAATATCTTAATCTCAATCTGAGGAGGAAGAGCATTGCATCTACCATAGTTTTTGCAGGCTTAGTTGTTAAAATCAAAATATGCAATAATTTAAAATAATGTAAACTTCCAGGTCAACATGCAGGGCCCAATACAATTATATGTACAGAACAGGAACCAAAATTGGTATATATGCTATCCAACAGTGTAAGCAAGTTGTGGATTTGCTGAAGGACTGCTTAGTGTCTCTGAGAACTAAATTACCCTCAAATGGTATATCTCAGTAATCAATTATGTTTGGGTTTATTAATTATGCCATCAGAATAAGGCCTGGCAATGCAATTTCTTTGTTTGACATGAGATTTTTTTCCTGTCACGTACATACTATAACCTAGCACGACTTCCAAATGCAGAAAGGAATTAGTGATAATTATGGTGATTCCAGAAATGAGTGACAGGAATTCCCATACACTTTTACACCACTTAAAAAAATACAGAAAGGCTGTTTACTTGCAGTCTGCTTTTGCTAGAACAATGCTGTTCCAAAGCTTAATTTACTGCTTTGTAAACAGCTCCTGAAGAGAGGTCATGCAGCTGTCCCCCATGGAAGCTTTCAGTATTTGCCTGGAGAAAACCTTAGGCAACCTCATTAGATTGCAACACTGATCCAGCTTCAAGCAGGACATTGGACTAGAGATCTTCCAAGCTTCCTTCCTACCTGAATGATTCTGCTATGGTTAAAAGAAGTAACAAAACAAGTAAAGCACACAACTACTATTACTGAAAAAAAAAAGTAAGCCTGCAGACAGGTATGATCACACACACTTTAAAAAAGTAATAAGATGACAAGAATGTTTGAAAACGCAAACTGAGCTTGTTTAATATCAAACAAATTAAAGCTGTGAAATCATTGCAGCAGGTGTCACAACTGTCTTCTTCATGATGAATATTCAGCCACCTCTGTCGAGAGAACAAAGTAATTAGTTTCAACTAATGAAGTGTGATCAAGTGATCTCACCTAAAGTCTTACTTAACCTCCCACCACTGCCTTCTTAAGACAACCATTACAGCTTATCTCCCATTTTCAAACATTCTTTGCCTAGATGACCATTCTTACAGGTGTAAGGAAGTCACACATTGTGGACACAGAATGGTCTTTAAGCTCTCCCAGTGCTGGAGAGGGGATCACATTAGCTTTGGAGAATATGGTACCGTTAGTATGTCAGTACCATGGTGCCAGTCAACCTGAAGTTCAAATTTTTCATTTGTTCCAAAAGGGATTTTACAGGATGCAGTTACACATAAAACAATGTTTCAAATGTATCTAGCACTCAGTAAATGAAACAAGACCAACTTTGTTCTGTGCCCTGTCATCCTACAGCATACCCACAGTGTTCTTTACCCTACCATCCATCCATTTACTTTGAATACCCAAACTATAAACTGGAAACAGTAAGAGCATTTAGGATCCAAATAAGGTAAATGTTCTGTGGTCAAACATACACTAAGGAACTGGAAATCAAAATATGCAACGTTCAGTTTTGAAGCAGAATACTCAGAAAAAACCTTGAGAACTATGGATCTAATATTTTGCAGCATGCTGAATTAACATAAAGTTCATTAACATTGTTCATTAAGTCCTTTGAATCAAGTGATACTTGTCACATTGCACTAACATGTGAAACGCACAGACTAAAACAACATGGGTCCTGTAGGGCTCACTAATATCCTGTGTTTAAAGCTGAACAGGTAAGAATTTAGTGAAACTGAAGACCATATTCACTTACACAATTATATTGTTGATTGGGATATGGATCAATTTGACAAAGAAACCAATAAATCCCATTATCGCAAAGCCTATTGCTGTTGCCATGGCAATCTTCTGGAACTCTGCAAAATAACAAAAAAAAATTTGTTAGGATGTTTTCATGTATGGCATATGTATGTGCACTGCAGAGACCAAAGGAGAGCTCTCTCTTTACAGAGCCACGTTAATACTGGAAACACATCAAAATCTGCAAAGATGCTGAGAAACAAACCTACTTTTTTAGTAGACAGATGAGATTTTCAGAGGGAAGATGCAGATTTCTACAAAGAATGGCTGATCACAATCTTTTTTAAATAAGCGGAATCAAAAATACCCACAATGACAATTCATAGAACATTTATCCCATTATGTTTCCTTTACATCCCTACAAACCCTGAAAGTAATCTCTAATACCACATCAAAAATAGAAAATCTGAATTTATGTCAGGACAGCACTGTAAGACCCCACAAAAATGGAATACTTGGGATATTTTCAATTACTTTAGGACAGCAAAGCTGACAAAGAAAGCCAACAGCCCCTCAGAAACCTGCCAGTCTGACAAGGAATGAAGTTCCTTATGGATCTCAATAGCAAACTTAAGTCACAGACCTGTTCACTCTGAGCACGTGAATAAAGCACTGTAACTTTCAGAGGACCAGTTGCATTCTGGTTTTAGTTACAGCTTCTCTCCAGGGCCTCTCTAGTCCAAAACCTCCTCTTCCATATTACCAGCAACAACACTGTTCCTGTCCCAGTCAGGCAATGACTGACAACTGTGGAGCACTGAATTTCAGCTGCTTAACCTCTCTCCTAAAGTGAGTTTTAGTACCACTCACACACCTACATACGAGTGTTTATTATAGCCAGAACCTTAAACACACTGAGATTAAGACACCTAAAGCTGAAGTTTAAATCTCATATTGGCAGCTGAGAAACAGCAAATGAATCAGCAGAAGTGACGTATGGAAAGACACGTGCTAAGATACAAGACGAAATAAGGATTGTCTTCTGGTTTATTGTGTGCTTTACCTTTCCTGTCAGGCTTGGTGCATCTCTTAACAAGTCGTATGGAATCTTTTACAAACTGACGGCTGGGTTCCACAAATTGCATTACCTGATCCATGATTGCCTGCAAAGACATACACATTTAGTACTGATGGTTCCACATATATACTGAAAACCAGAATTTTTTAATTACATTAGTAACAGTTACCTACAAAATTTGTTAAAGGCTTTAGATAACCTGAAGCGTTACATTCCAACCTAAGATACTTCCACTTTGCAGGAAACGAAGACACTGTTTCAGTAAATAAACATAAGGGCCTATTTCTGACTGCAAAAGAAAAATATGGAAAACTGTGCCTTTCAGCCCAGAAGAGGGAAACAGCCCCATCCCAGCTGGGCTTTCAGCTCACGTCCTACGCTGTGTTTCTGAGAACATCGCCAGAGGCGTCTAAATAGACAAAAGCCGCCGGTTTGAGGAGACCCCCGCGCCAAAAGCGGCCGGGGGCCGATGAGCACGGAGAGAGAACGCTGTGGCCGAGCCCTATTCTCACAGCAGCCGTGTGCCGGCACTGCCGCCGCACGCGGGGCACCCACCGAGGGATCTGCTCCCACTAATCCACACGGACCCCCTGGCGGGAGCCTCCCGGTGTGATGCCGGCGCCTCTCGCGTCCCCTTCCCCTCTCTCCGGCCGAGGTCCCCCTGCCTCCCGCAGTCCCGACAATCCCCCATCCCTGGCCCCATCCCAATCCCCGTCCCTCTCCCAGAGCCGGAGACCACCCAGGCCCCCCGAGCCGCCCTCACCGCCGGCCGAGGGACACGTCGCACTGAGCGGCTGAACGCGTGACGTCACCACGGCGAGCGGGGCGGGTTTGGGTGGAAATTGAAGGGTTTTGAGGGCGGGGTTGCACTTGGATTTTTTTTCCCCCTTCCGGTTTCCGGGGCCTGTCGCTCCTCCCGCCTCGCCGGCGGGGGCGGGTACGGCCGTGAGGGCCGATCCTCCCCGGCAGTGACCGTGCGGCTTTGGGCTGTGTCTGCTTCCCGCGCCCTTGGAGCCTTGGGATCCGAGAGCGTCCTAGCGGGAAGTAAAGGGAAGAAGGTGCCGCTGCTGCCCCAAGCAGACAGGGACAAGGATGAGAGGACCTAGTCTCAAGCTGTGCCACGGGAGGTTTAGGTTGGGTATTAGGAGGAATTTCCTCATAGAAAGGGTGATTAGATATTGGAACCGGCTGCCCAGGGAACTGGTGGAGTCGCTGTCCCTGGAGGTGTTTAAGGAAAGACTGGATGTGGCACTCAGTGCCATGGAATAGTTGTCAAGGTGGTGTTAGGCCATGGATTGGACTCGATGATCTCAGAGGTCTTTTCCAACCTAATTGATTATCTGGATATGCCTGTAACAAATGCTCTTCTGTGAAAAGATGGGGGGAAAAAAAAAAAAAAAACAAAGAAAAAAAACCACAAAAAAACCCCAACCAAACAAACAACAACAAGAAGAAAAAAAAACAGTGTGAAACTTGGTTTTCATGAATGCTGGAGCCATTGTGAACTAAGGGAGTTCATCGCCTTTGAAAACACAGGATTTTTCTGAAGTGTGCAGTCTCTTTGAGTCCACCACTCAAAGGCAGGGAAGCTCCATGCATTGCAGCACCACGGTAGCGTGGGACGCTTCCTTGCATGAGGGGGAAAAGAGGCTTTCACTGCCTAAAGGGAGCGCTTCCCTGCTGCTTCATCTTGTAACAGATAAAGGGAGAACAAAGAGAAAATGGATTTACTGTTTTTATCCTTACTTTGCTTTTGATGTTATAGATTTTTCTCAAGAGCTCTGTTTCTAGTTGACTCCCCCTTTGAGTTTATGTTAAGTCTCCAAAGCTTATTAATTATTCATTAGACTGCGGGGCCTCTGCAGCCAGTTTAGCAAACGCTTTGCTGATCTCAACTCCCTGTTGCATCTAAGTGTGCACAAAATATTTTATGGGCTTAAATTTTTGCTGACAGCCTTCACTACAGGTAAAGTACCATCACATCACAGTAGGGAATTGCTGGTCATTCCATGGCTTTTTTTGGCAGCCACCTTCTTTGTGTCTGGCCACAGGGCAGGCCCATCAGTATTACTGACCTCCTTCAGAGATGAGCTCTCTAGTTGGCATTGGAGGGTTATTGGCTTGAGGTCCTCTACAGGTTTTCTCCAAAAGTCTGCCTTTGGATTAGATTTTGTTCTGAATGAAAATTCCTGCAGCGCTGTTTCTCAGATGGGGCTGTAATTTTGGTGGCCAAATTCTGCTGGACCTCTTCCATTGGCACACCAGCACAGAAAGATTAGAGTGTCAGACAGGCCTCCCACATCATATATGTGTATAATTTGGCTCTTGTTTTTGATGCCAGTCTGCAGTCTGCCAGGATGGAAGGAAGAGGAGAGGAAGATCCCTAAGGAAAGCAGCAAAGGGCCTGATAGCCATGGTGCATGGTGTGTGATGGGACAGAGTAGATTGCTGAACCTTTGAATGAGATTCCATATGTAGAGGAGTTTTGGTGGGCTTTGTCTTATTTGTTTTTTTTCCCTTCAGTATCACAGCCAGAGACTTTATCAGCAGAGGAAACTCACATTTCCAGCTGTGCTGCATGAGGAGCGTTGCTGTGAACCATCTCCACAGTGGATGTAACCAAAAGGCATTGACTGGGAAAAAATTTAACCTGAAGAAAGAAGACATGTATGAAACAATTCATGACACAGATTTGTGGTTGGATTAGATTTTTGGTTTTGTTCCCCCAAAATTCTCTATTTCAAGTTGTTTTTCCTGAGGAGAAATGTACTGGAGAAACATAGCACACCTTGCATGTCTTAACAATGTGGCTTTGGCATAAGTTTGTACTATAGGTTCTCTAGGGTGGGGTAGAAGGTATCCATTGTCCTGTCTCAGCTTCCTTCACTCTGCCATGATAAGCTCTTGTCTTTGCATGCCAGGCTGCAAGTTTGGACTTCAGCACCTCAGGAGAGAGGTAGAGTCCTGATTTGTGCACAGAAATCATTGGCTGTTCTCCTCACAGGATTTTCCAGCATTTACAGGGTTTTTAGTGTCCTTGAACTAATACATTACTTAGACTCAGTCCTCATATCAGGAACAACTAAGAAACAATGAACAGAAACAATATGTTCCTGTTCTATATATATTTACAAAGAGCCATCTGCACTTACAGAAGATAGGAAAAGGTTTACATCTCCTCAGCATGTGTAATTTTTTTTCATTGAAAGCTAGACTGCTACTAGGGTGTTTTGTTTCTACTTCTTTATGGTTTTTGCCAGGTTGGGGAAGAAAGCGCTGTGCTTGCACAGGTGAATTTTTATGGCAGTTTTTCAAGTCTGCTTTTATGGCAACATCTAAGCAGTACATAACCATTCCCTCAACAGTAAAAAAGACCATTTTTATCCTATCCTGTCCTGTGCTAGTGCTGATTTGCTTCTGAATATTGCATAAACTGGAGCCACACTTGGGATGGGGCAGGGGGAAAGAAGGTTTTCATCCTCTATATGCTCCAAGGATGAAAGGATGAGAGACTTCTTTTGATGACAGTTTCACTTTGCATATTTGCACATTTTGGTTTGTAGTTTGTTTTTGTCCTTTTGAGGACATACAAGATAAATATCTGCTTTTAACTATTGGGGCATTAGACTGTTGTATGATATCCATCCCCATGGATCTGGACACTTGGACAGTGTGATCGGCCTCCTCTTTAGCCTTTCCCATTCCATGCTGCCTGCCTGCCTCAGCACAAATCCCACTGCAGCCTGCAAAACGTGGTGGGATGCCAGGAGCCAGAGAGCTGCTGTCAGCTGCAGCAAACATAATTTTGGGATCAGCTGAGAAAAGACACAGACTTCAGTATGAGAGATAGCTCAGCCTTTGTATGGAGGGCATATGTGTGATCCCTAAGTGGTTGTGGGAAGGACAGAGCTGTAGCTCTGTCTGACCAGGTCTCCAAGCCTCTCTGTTCCTCTGTGGGGTATAACCCCGTTTTCCCTGCCCTGACTCTGCTCCAGCCCCAGTCAGGTCCTGCTCAGGTTCCCATGAGGCTGGTGCTGCCTGGCCTCAGCAGCAGCTCGATGGCCCGGGCAGCGCTCCACTTTCTGCATCCCAGAGTGGAGAGACCTGCCAGTCTGGTTCTCTTGTTTGAAGGATTACTCCCCACATGCTAGAAGAAAATACTTGCAGTGTTCTTGGCAGATTTCCTGTGGCTGCACAAAAAGTGGTACTTTGGGATATGAAGTCTTGCTGAGCTATCTCCTTCCCATGAAGGAAGATAACTATCCATTCCATCCCAATGCATCCCATGTTGGAGAGCAGGAACTGTGCTGCTCCTGTGTAGGAAGAGCCAGAGGGATGAGTAGATGGGCAGGAGGCACAGCCAGTGCTGTGCCCAGGATCTCTTAAGCCTGCCACAAGGCATTTGAACTGGAGGAGGCAAGGCAAAACATTGGCTTCTTCCCCAGAGGGATTTTTGGGAGGGATGGACTGTCTGAGCAGGAGTAGGATTTGGGGACAATCTGACTTTCCTTTGTGAATTTAAGGGGCAAAAGGTTATCCAGAGAGACAGAAAAAGCAAAGAAAAAGACTAAGAAAACAGGGAAGGTGGCCGCCTCTGGATTTATGTATGCAAGGAAGGTTGGTCACTGTGGCCAGTGGGCATCTGAGTATGCTCTGGGTCAGAAAACAGCAGAGAACAAAGACCACACAGCAGCAGAGATTTACAGCCCAAACAAGGGAATAATGTAGAGAAGGAAGAAAGAAAGGAGAAAGCAAGGTGATGTTGTGGGAAAGGTTAAGGGACAACCTTGTTGAACAGTGCTGCCTTCTCAGATTTTCAGAGGCATCAGCATAGTAGCCCCATTGACTGAAGTCATGCTAATGCTCCCTTGCTTGACAGTGTTGTTGGATAACTAAATAACTATAAAATTCAGAAATTGCAAAGATATATGGCACCTTTTATTTTTTAATTCTACGTTATCATAAATGTGTTTGATTAATTTATATCTTGAAAAGTTTTTGAAATATCTATGTGCTTCTGACATTTAAAATGAATTTTAGCTTTTCATTCCCCTAAACAATCCAGAGACTCTGTTTGGACTTGATAAGTTCAACTGCTTGATTTATGATAGGAAGAAAGATTATTTCCCTCTTCAGTATCTGTACAGATGCAGGGGAAAAGCATAAATGGGAAATTAATGTTAAGAAGAAAATGATAGCTCAGATTTGGGGGTCAGGAGAAAATGATGGAGTGCTTGTGGTCCATGTCTTGGGGTTTAGCCTCGATAACTATAGAAATGCCACTAGATCACACTTCAATGCTGTGGTTGTGAAAGGGAATGCCTCTAGTTTGAAACAGCCAACAAGCCCCATCTTTTGACTTGTGCTGCTTAATATTCAATGGAGATGAAATGTGTGATGAGGGAGAAGTGCTGTTAAAATAGATTTTTCCCAATGTTGAATTTATTGGATATAATTTTAAAGATGACCTTTTTTAAAAAAGCCTGAGTTCCATTTTATTTGAAAGAGAGCATTTGGGAGATTTGCGTCTGTATAATAGACAAAATAGGAGAGAAACAAGGACAGTATACTAAAATGACATTGCTAAATGATACTTCAGACTAAAAAAAGTCTATCTAGCAAAAGACATGGAAGTTAACAGAGGAATAATAATTCCTCCATCAGCTGTTTAGGTCAAAGAGATCAAGAAAAATCAAATGCTTTCTAGTTTCTCTGATGCAATGCTTGTAAAAGTTTGTTTTGTCTTGCTCTAATAAATAGCAGCTGATGATATGGGCCTCATCCCTTACTTTATAATTTCCACATGACGGTTTTTGTGTATATTAACAAACAAATCACTGAATCATTCTTTTAAAAAATGCTAGTAGTGGTTGTGGGAATACTAATTAGCACTTCAGATTAAAAAAGAAAAAGAGGAGAAAATTGAAATTGGAAATACTCTTAACCTTAAGATGATTTTTCATGATAAAGTCTTCTTTTAATTTGTTTTGGCAAATCTGCACTTAGTTCATGAAGTATGGCCCATGCTCCTTTTTGGGACATGGGGTAAACAAAACCTTTCCCTTCTGTGATGTTCCAACACACCTTCTACTCCATTAGTGGCTCCATTCCATGTAACAGGATCATGACCCACGATTGGGGTTGGCTGAGCTGGACCCCAGCTGGACCCCAGTCCCACTATCATTATATGCATTTTGGTACAAAAGGTGTTTCATTACATGTTCTGCCCACTGAGGTCCAGGATCCCAGCTGGCTAGGAGTGTTGGCCAGAATGCTATCTTCTTCTTGTGAGTTAAAAGTTGTTTCTTCAGCTTTTTCCTGCTGTAAAACTCTAAAAATTTGAGAGAAGTTGAGAGACACTGCTTTATAAGGGTGAGAACCATTTGAGGAGTAGGGAAAATTGAGCAGCTGAAAGGATGGAGCTGGACAGGCAGAAAAAAACCTTCCTACTACTGAAAAGCAAAATAACTTTTTGGCCCTAGTTTTTTTAACTTTTTTTCTCCCCAGTTGATCTATATAGTGTTGGTTGTCTTTTGTTCCTACCTTCAGATTAAATAGGACATTTCCCTTTGGCTCAGGTTAAACTGTTTTGATACTGCTGAGGTCTCCTGAATTTTGCCAAGTATCTGTGCTAAAGCAGACATGTCACTGATTTGTACATGAGCCATGTGCTTCAGGCATGCTGGCGGCATGTGCTTTCTCAAAGAGCGCCTTGGAAACATACTCTAAATATGTAATAACTTGAGTGTAAAAGAATCCAGAGGAGTTTGGGTAATGGAAGGTTTTACAGGGATGGGAATCATTCCTGAACTTCAAAAAGCTAGAATTGCAAAGTTTCTTTTATTTTTTTAATGTACTTTTCACTACTCTTTTGAAGATATTTTTAGAATGCTTCCCCTTTCCTCCTTTCTGGCCTCAATAATCTTTGCTCTCTGTGTTAGAAACTTAAATGGAAACTTAAATTCCAGTCTTGCTGAAGAACCTTGAAAGGCTCTGCTGTTCAGCGAGGCAGAGACAGTGTCTCTGAACTGCAGACAGTCCAGCTTTAAAGGTGATTTGAGAACTGAAAGGCATGGTCACTAGAAGAGAAGCAGTTTTGCTTGGTCACTGGTGGAGTGCATGATCTTCCTCACATGTAAAGCTGCTCACAGGACAAAGCTGCTTTTCACAGCATGAGGAAGCTGCAGGCCTTCCTTGCTATTGTCTGAATCTGCAGCATTCTCAGTAAGATTTGTTGTGTTCCTGCAGAAGGAATAGTAAGGTTCTGTTGATTATTCTGCTTCTTTATCTCACCAGTAATGCTCCAACTCTGCATTGGTGAAAAGGATTTGGGGAATCACCTGTTCAAGCAGTACAAATGTATCTGGCAGTGTTCCTGAGTCCTGTCAGTCCCGTCACTGCTGCAACAGGCAATTAAATGTTTGTAAATCTAATTTCTCTCATTTCCTCTCCTAGTAAGATAAAAATCAATTACTTCCATTATTGCTGAAAAGATAGAATCCTCCAAGGTGGTGTTGGTTTAAAAAATAAATACCTGAAGATCTAGCACTTTCTGCTAGCTTTATTACCCAAGTGTCACTTCCATTTAATCATGGACTTAGTACTGCAGAACTGTCCAAGATGTTGCAATAATCAGATACAGGAAGTTTCAAAAGTGAGTCCTGCTAACATCATGGTAAGTTTGTGTCTGTTCGCCTGAACCTGTCCAAGTGCTAGTTTTAATAACAAAGT